CCAAACCATACCAAAAAACCAAAAAAAACAAAAAAAAAACCAACCCAAAAACCCCAAACAAACAAACAAACAAAAAAACTAAAAATAAATTAAAAAACTAAAAACACACACAAAAAAAACCCCCAAAACCCCAAGAAACCCACAAAGAAACCCCAAAAAATAAAGAAAACCACCCAAAAATCCCCCCCCCTAGCAAAAAACAAACAAAAAAAGGAATTGTGTGGAGAGGGAGAGGAGGAGGAGGCGGCGCTGCAGTCACGCGTTCCTGCTCCTGCATGGAGCTGTTTGTTCTCGGGACTTGACCTGGAATTGAGGCCAAAACTCCCAAATTGCGTCCAGCGCGTTCCCTCCCGCTTTTGTCGGAGCTTTTGGCTCCGAATTTCCCATTATTCCAAAACATTCGGGCTTTTTTTCTGCTGGAATTCACCCCCCTCATCCTCCTCTGGTTTTATTCCCGTTTCTGTGGCCGGATCTAGGCTGGTATTTCTTTATCTGTGTGCTGGGAAAAATTGGGGAAAAAAATGAGCAAAATGGTTAATAATTCTCGTGTAACCCAAGAATTTGTCCAATCCGTTCACCCACAGCTCCTTCAGATTTCTGGAGCTGCTGGAATGCCCAAAATCTGATTTTTTCATGGATTCTGGGGTGCTTCCCCCAGTATGAAAAGCATGGGGATGAGTCCAAAATTGGGAAAATGGCGAAAACTGCACAGTTCTGGTTTAGTTCGGAACAGAGTGTCCCAAATGGGGGTAAAAATGGATTTTTTGGGGTAATTCCTGTGCTCCCAGGTGGCTGAGAAGGCGCTGGGGAGAAGCCAGGAATGGTTTGGGTTAAATCGGGGAGATTTTAGCATTTGGATGGTGAGAAAAAAAAGGGGTGAAAAGGCCCAGAGACCCTATTTTCAGCAAATTTAAACCAAAAATCTTTTATTTTGGTTGTACTTACGAGGCCAGAGCCTTTCTCGCCATCTCCCTGGTGGTCTAGTGGTTAGGATTCGGCGCTCTCACCGCCGCGGCCCGGGTTCGATTCCCGGTCAGGGAAGAGTTATTTTTGTCCAAAAAACCCACTTCTTTGTGTTTTTCAAAATCCTTTCCAGGATTTAACATCTCCTAACCTCAAAATTATCCCACTTCTTCTCTTTTTGTGCCTCTCCCGCCAGACGTCCCCTTCCACCTGCCCAGGGTCCGTCTTTTATTGAGCAGTAAAAAAAGAAAATTAAAAAACACTTATTTATATAGTTTTTTCTTTTTTAAATAAAAATTAAGATTTTAACTTCACGGCAGCATGAGGGGCCGCGTCCTCTGCCCAGATTCCTGAAAAATCTTGAATTTTTTTGTTCGGATTTGTGTACACTAAAGCAGCAGCCTCAAATGCCCCCCAGGAGCCCGGCTAGCTCAGTCGGTAGAGCATGAGACTCTTAATCTCAGGGTCGTGGGTTCGAGCCCCACGTTGGGCGACAGTTGTTTTCCTATTTCTGTACCCAAAAGTCATACATTTTAACCTTTAGGTATTATATTATTTTAAAACTATTACTCCTTTCCTTAATTTATTTTAGTGTTTAATTTTTTATTCGTATTTAATTATTTCTTTTAAATTTCTTAAACTATTCTTATTATTATTAATTGTATAGTAATTTTTTTAAAAAGGACGTGTTGGACTGGCACCAGGAATTTCACGCTCGGGAAGATTGGGATGGGGGGGGGGTTGGGACTCAGAAATTTCGGGATTTGAGCCCCAAAAAGGAGGACTTGGGACCCAAAAATGCGGATTTGAGCCCAAAAATCAGGATTTGGACCGACACCAGGAATTTCACGCCCGGGCAGCTGCACAAATATCGGGACAGGACCGGCCCCAAAGGCCTCGGGAACAGCCCGGAGCAGCCAGACAGGGCATTAATCACCGGATAATTATCCCTGCCGCTAATTAAGACCCCACAGGGCATCCCGGGAGGCTCCGGCTCCATCCCCGTCCCCCCAAAATCCGTGCGGGATTTGCAGTTGAGTTCCCAAATTTTGGAGGTTTTTTGGGACGCGGAGACAGAGAGGGGACAAAGGGAGCGGGGGCCGTGTCCGGGTGTTTGTCCAGGTGTCTGTCCGGGTGTTTGTCCAGGTGTTCCCCGCATTGTTCCCCGGATTCGGGGTCGTTCAGGCCCCGAGGGCAGCGCGGGGATAAAGGGGGCTCGGGGCGGCGGCGTCGGGAGCCCCGTGGAGCGCTCGGCTGGGTGAGGCACTGCCTTTTGGGGGGTTTTCGGGGGCTTTTGGAGTTCTCCTTGTGCGCTCCGTGTCCATCGGCATCATCCCAGCATCTCCTCGAACTTGTAAAGAAGCAGGGATTTTTACTTTTATGACCAATTTTTTTTAATATATAAAAGATTTTATATATTTTTTTAATATGCTTTTATATAGCTAAAATATATACTTTTAAAATAATGTATTAAATTAAAATTAATTTTATGACTAATAAAAAATATATTTTATATAATAAATATATATAAAATATATATTTTAAAAATCTATTTTAAATATATATTTAAAATATAAAATATGTTATATATATGCTTTTATTTTAGTATGCTTTTATATATCTAAAATATATTTCTTAAAATAATGTATAAATAATAATACATAAATAGGTGAACAAATGTATTATATGGTGTCTAATTTATGTATAAATCCATATAAAATATATAAATACACCGTCTATTCTAATGAGTAAATAAATACATAAAATATATTTTAGCACATAAAGATATATTTATTATTTTCATATTGTTTTATATTCTTTACTTTTATGTTTCTTAGGCTTAATTTAATGTTTTTTGAAAAAGAAACCGGTTTAATTTTTAAATAAATAAGCATTTTACAGAAGTCAAATGAAGCTTTTAATTTTAGTAAAAAAATAATGAAAACGCTGCTCTCCAGGAGCCCGGCTAGCTCAGTCGGTAGAGCATGAGACTCTTAATCTCAGGGTCGTGGGTTCGAGCCCCACGTTGGGCGGTACTGTCTTTTTTACCCCTTCTTTCACCCAAATCTGACCTTTTTCTCTTCTTCTTTACCCAAATCCTGGTTCGGGTTCAGCTGTAGGCGCTGCCGAGCGCCTTTGGCAATAAAGCGCTTTTTTCCTCATTACATCATTTTATTCCCTGCAACCAAAACCACTAAAATCTCCACAATTCCCCAGACTTCCTTTTTTTGGGGTTATCTCAGGAGGAAAACCAAGCTTTTCTCTGTTCCTTCTGCCCCAAGAGGCACAAAACAAAAGAACCGGGAGGGTTTTGCCGCTGTTGTTTTGGGATTTTTTTTCCCACCCTATCCCAGGTGGGATATCCCAGGACTGAGCCCCGAGGGAATCCCAGAGCTGAATTCCTGAATTCCAGGGCTGAATTCCTGAACCCTTCTCATCCCAGAGCTGGATTCTGGAACTGTTCTCATTCTAGAGAGCAGAATTAATTCCAGGGCTGAATTCCTGAGCCCTTCTCATCCCAGACCTGAATTCTTGAGCCGTTCTCATTCCAGGGAGTGGAACTCATCCCAGAGCTGAATTCCTGAATTCCCGAGCCCTTCTCCCCCCACGGAGCCGATGGAATCCCGAACCTTTCCCACCACGAAGCTGCTCCTGCTGGGGCTGAGCCTCCTCCTGTGCCTCGGAGCCGGTGAGCGGAGAACAAATCAGATTTAACGGATTCTGCCCAGGTTTTCCCCAAAATTCATCCCGTTTTCCCCCCTCTGCCGCAGCCGAGGCTCTCCGGTGCCACCTGTGCAAGTACAAGATCCCCTTGGTGGGCTGCCTGCGGGGCGCCAACGTGACGAGCTGCGAGCGCCGGGAGAAGTGTGCGCTCATCAAAACCTCCCTGGGTGCGTCCCCGGGGCTGTCCCCGCTCTTTGCTTCCCTTGTTTTATCCCTTTGCTCACCCAAATCGGATCTTTCCCCTTTTATTTACCCAAATCCACCTGGTTTGCAGGCAGAACCTGCAGGGAGCCTCTCCTGGGCTTCCCCACCTTCTCCTTCCCTTGTTCACCGAAATCTGATTTTTTTCCCTTTTATTTACCCAAATCCACCTGGTTTGCAGGGAGCTTCTCCTTGGGCTTTACCCACCCTCTCCTTCCCTGGTTTTATCCCATAGTTCACCGAAATCTGATATTTTTCCCTTTTATTAACCCAAATCCACCTGGTTTGCAGGCAGCTTCTCCTTGGCCTCTTCCTCACCCTCTCCTTCCCTGCTAAGAGGTTCAAAAGGACCAAAAAACTTTCAAAAAGTAATTTTTAAGCCAAGGGGAGACTCTCCCTGGGGGGCAGGGGTTGTCTCCGTGGATGCATCACGGAGATTTCTTCCTTTTATTTTCTGATTTTCTTTTTCTCCTAATTAAACCAATCTTTGCCTTAATTTGGGGGTACATTTCAAAGCTCGGCTTCTCCCCAAAGCTCCAAAAATCCGATTTCCACGTATTTTTCTTTTTCTCGTCCCCCCCGCAGGTAAGATGACCCTTTACTACCAGCAGGGCTGCACCTCGGCCCTGAACTGCGGCCGGGAGCGGGCGTCGGACGCCGAGTCCCGGCTGAGCTCCCGCTACTCCTGCTGCGAGACCGACCTGTGCAACGAGGAGTGGGGCGAGGAGCGCCGGGACTGACCCGCCCTGGGGCGGGACCGCGGTTCGGGGGCGCCTCGAGCTGATCTGACCCGGGGCTGCAATCGCCAGGGGCAAAAATGAGGGCTCGTTCACCTCACAATTCCCTCCAGAACGCTATTTGCGAAAGAAAATCACAAAAATACCCTTTTTGTCTGCATTTTTAATGACTGCTTTTGCTCCAGAATATCGCTGCTACCCATCCTAACCCTAAACCCTAGCCCTAACCCTAGCCCTAATTCTTTAAAGAACGTTGTCTTGCGTTTGAAATTATTCTCAGTAGAAAAATTGAGCCTCTTTTGCGACGAGCATCCCTTGTTTCTTGATGCTCATCGAGACTGTGCAAGGTAAGAAATAAACAAAAAAAAAAAATTCTGCAAAACTCTCACCTGATGAAGCTGTTGAGTAGAAAGCGTAAGCCCAAAATTAGTGTACACTGTTTTTTTCCTTTGATCTAAATTTCCACAGCGAGTCTTACAGAAACACATGACATTCCATTTCTGGTTTTCTTTTCCTTTCCTTCCTGTACCTGTCAACATTTTTATTGATTTGCAAGCCAACTATTCATGCTCAAACCCTTATGAAAAAACACATTACCATTAAAAAAATCTAGCCCACACAGTTCTGTACTGTTAATATTTTCGCTTTCAAATGGGCCCTGATTTAGTCTCAGGTCTAAAATAAACCCTCAGGCTCGGCACTGGCAGGGCTGGATCTGGCTCGTGTCCTTGTTTCCAGCTCTCCGGGCTCGGCATTCCCGATGGTCCGGGAGCAGCTGGCGGCCCGGAACACGATCCCGACACCCAAAGCCCAAGGGCGAGCCAAGGAGCTTCCCCCTGCTCTCGTCCTGGGTTTTATTTATTTTCCCTCCAGGGCAGGGCTGGGAATTTTGGGAGAGCAGCATCAGCTGGGAGCCAGGGGAAATAAAGGGGGGGGGGTGTCCAGTAGACATTAAT